ATTTTTCTATATATATATATATATATATATATATATATATATATATATATACACACACACACACACACACACATTGAAATTAATAATTTACATGTGATCAATTTGTTTTCTGTTCACATGTTTTGAAAACTAAAATTCCTATAACATTTATGTTTCATTTACGAAGTAGATTGTACATTAGAAACCACTCATTTTTTAACTAGATACCCAAATTACCTTTAAAATCTTACTTTTGAACTGGGTATGGACTGAAACAAAACTGGCTCGTGTCTAATGAGTTACATAAGGTGGACGTGAAGTGTATGACGAGTGTTTTAAACTAAAACATGTATTATATAATTGAGTATACGTCCGAATAAATGTATGCATACTCAAAGAGTGTCCAAGGAGTGTCAGAGTCGGACTCATGTCGGACACGGATACAGGAGCCCAAGCAATGTGTGTTGGTAACTTAGGTTCCTGTGCTCCTTAATTCTTTGCAGGTAACAAGCAACAAAACCCTGGCCAGTATTCCGTACTGTTAGGAATCTTGACCCCAAGATTAGTTTATTTTGATGATAACAAATATTATATGTTGCGTGTATTATGTGCTAACATTTGTTTTGCAGTATCAAAGATATATCAACAATTATATTCAAAGAGATACTCAAGACATAGATGAGTTCAAGACAAAATGAAACAAAGAAGAAGATATATTTTATTGTCAAAATGTAATTTTACATTTTCTTTGCTTAGAAATTTGTACAAGTGTCAAAATGTAATTTTACATTTTCTTTGCTTAGAAATTTGTACAAGCCTTGATCACTCACACACATGCACACACATAGTGTTAGAACACACTAACACATGCTTAGTGTGTTGGTTAACAATAGAAATCCACTATGTTAGCCATTAGAGTTTATAGATATTGAGTGTCTTAAAATATTTTACTTATACCCATTATCAATTAGAATCTAGAAAAACTCAAAAGATCAAAGTTGTAGGTCTCTTTAACAGCTTTCCAACAAATCTTAAATCACCTCATTCTGATGTTGGATGAGAAAGTTATAGCCAAAATACTAAAAACAAAATTCCAGAATCTGTGAGTTTACAATGTAGTCGACTACTATGTCTTTTAGTCGACTACTAAGCAATTTTCTGACTTCACAGAGTCTGTTTAGACTTAGTGTAGTCGCTACTATGATTTGTAGTCGACTATAGATGCGGTTTTTTAAATTTTAGGTTTTGAATAAGTGATTGTTTATAGTCATTTTGTGGACGTTAATTGGGTTTAAAATTATATCATTTCAGATGCTATAAATAGGTTTAAACATCAGAAAACAAGTATCAAGTTTTGCACTTATAGGATTCACATATTATGCAAATTAACTCTCTAAACTTTTAGTTTTTCAATCTGTTTTTCCATAAAAGAGAGTTTCTGATATTGCCTTTGTTCCTATCATTCTTAGAACTTGTTTAGGTAATATTCAGAGAGTTAAAAAGGTTGATAAGCCACTGTTATACGTTCACATCCACATCAAGGCTTATAGGATTGGAATTGTACATTACTTCAAAGAAAGGTTCTCTCGGTTTATGAGAGGGGTTGATCTCTTGGTCTAGAGGTCGGTTTATAATTGGCATGATCTTATCAATTGGGTTTGTAATTTGCATGATCTTACAAATTGGTCAGGTTTGCTTTTGATTTTGTAAGGTTTCAAAATTATAGTGAAAACTCTCAAGCGGGATTTGCTTGGGGACTGGATGTACACCGGGGAGGTGGAACCGGTATACATGCTTGTGTTTGTGATGTTCACTTTCTGAGATTGTCATTCTTTCTTTGCAATTTATAATCTATTTTGTAAACTCACCTTCTAGTGTTTAAGTGTAAAGCTTCCGCAGATTTTTATAAGAACACACTCTATTCTTAAGGGTCACGATCCTACACTTGGTATACATAAGCAAAATCAGACCCTACACGTACCGTGTGCATCTTTCTTTGGTCTCTACTTTTCTTTTGTCATGCATCTTTTTGCACTCTAAAGTCTTAATATATGTCATTATCAGAAGAAATTTCGCCCTGTTCATGGTAGTTTTTAGAAACTTCTCCTTAATAAATTTCTTAAACTGAAAGGGTCAACAAGAGCAAATAATTATGAGTAGTTGTGAGAGAAATACTAACAATAGAGACATGATTTACAATCTAGTTTGTTCATATGCTTAACTAATCAAAACATGGGATGAAGAGCTAAGCAAACAAGACATGTAGAATCTAAGTTCACCTTGAGGTCCAGTACTTCCACTGGCACTTTCAGGAGGTATATGAGAGAAATAATGTCTCCTGCACTCATGTCCATATCAAAAATGACAGGTTTCCCCATGTTCCGATTCTTGAAATCTGGCTTGTAGAGTGTTTCACGATAATATCGAAATTCTGTACTAAAATTGAAGCGCCCAGATTGTTGACGGAGGTTTAACACCTACCTCGAACAATGACAGCTGTGACATTTAGTATTAATATATTTACTAGAAAATGAATATGAAGTGTGTAAGCTAAATGTTTATGTAGGATATTTAACAGGAAGAAAATGAAGCATCAAATTTAATCCTAAAAGGGACTCTGAAGAGAAGATACTGATTTGACACTTTCTTTTTTGTTTTGAGGTGTCAATAAAAATGAGATGTTATGAGAACTACAAATTTCAAGAAGGGCGCTTAAGAGTTTCAAATCGCAGTGATGCATCAACTGCAAGCAGAACTTCAAGCATGATGCATGACAAATTGCCTACTGTAGGTGTCCAAGAACGTTTCAAGTCACAGGTAATGACTCATCTACTTATTAGAGTAGAAGCAAGTTATAACCTATCAACTTGCATACAAATACTGGCAATGGCTATTGCTGAATTTTGTCTATGAAGATGGAAACAGTATGTTAAAATAGAGATCAATGAAAAAGAGGTGATTCACACGAGGGCCATGCACTGGAATAATAGATTGCGTTAGTCTTGAAGAATAAGTGCAGTTGAGGTATATTCTGTTGTTCTTGTGCGTGTAGACACATATTCTGCATGTGACATTGGCAGCTACTCTCTAGAAGGTAATTATTTCATAAATTCATCATTGGTGCACAGCGGTGAATCAATGATGCATTTATCAAATAATTACCCTCTAGAGAGAGTATCGACGCTGCCATCATAGGTGGTTGTTATAGTTGTAGGTCCTATATGCTAAATAGGGGGGAAAATACTGATACAAGTATCTGATATGGCAGTTCTCAACCAGAACATGCAGCAGCAACAATTAGGTACGCATGTTTATTTTATGCATGCATTATCAAATGAATAATCATATGACAAGTGTAAACATCAACATTGAACAAAATGGTCTCCTTTGCAGTGATAGGTGGAGGGTTGGGGATAGTTAGACATAGCCCATAAAAGTGACTGAAGTTGTGGAATAAATAATTTATCATTTCAAGCACTTACATCTAAAAAGTTTTTAAAAAATTCTCTGTTGAGCTTGCTCTTATCATCTTTGTTTGCCTTTGCTTTAGTGGCAACAAGTACTTGGACTGCTTCTTGACCAGTTACTTCCTTAGTATATCCATCCTGAGTGCATCATATATCATTCATCAATTCAAATCATAAATCAGCAGCGAAGACTTAATGAATTCCTTAATCTAGAAGTGAAGTGTACAACAGGTAGTGAAAAAGGTGAGTATGATAGCGAGGTAGATAATTTTACAACTTATCTGCCAGGAAACCCATATAGAGTGAAACTATAGTAGGAAAACATTAGATGCAGCCTCCAAAGTTTCAAGTTACCTCGCACCTTCCTTTCTTTTTTCCCTTGATGAAGCAAAATGGATCTTGAACTCCAGTCTGAACATGACCACTGTGCACTCCATTTTTCTTCAGATTAAACTTCGGGATTGGACGCTTGTCAAAGAATGGGTTCGATCCATCATTTATACCATATGGTCTATTTGAAGTTACTACCGTTATGTTCATGTATTCCATCTCCGAAAATTCATTTTCACCATAATGGTTGTGAAAATTGCGCATAATTGACAGGGCTACACCAACCATAAATGAGTCCCACATGAAATAGCTCTGATGCAATTCAAAGCTCAAATACTTATTAGCCCTTGTATAAGTTAAACAAGTACTGGACCATTTCAACTAAGTAACCTATGCTCCTAAGCACCATGGGGAAAATCTAAAAAGAGAAAAACGTACTGTGTAAAACTGATCGTCGAACCAGGTATCACGAATAATTTTTAAAGACTGGAAGCAGTAATTGGCCTCATGCGTACCATGTTGTCTTTCAAATTCCTTGAAGAATTGCTTGGTTATGGGGATAGTGTTGGTTGCGTCGAGTGGGATAAGTGTAATTGGAATGCCCGAATGGAACACCTACAGATAAAAGATTATACTTGAAAATATGCACTGCAGCAAGCGGGAAAAATATCATAGAAGGTATCATACATAGTATGAAATGTAACAGAAAAGTAGCTATTTTGACATATATATCTTCACATGCTGCAAGAATTCTTAGATGTTCATAACTTCGGCCAAAGTAACTCAAGTTCTGTCTTGCACTGATGAAAAAAGATAAAATGCTAAATACTTCAACATTGCACATTCTAAAAAAGGAAGACAATGTTTCAGAAAGACATCATACGAAATAAATGTGCTAAAAACTGATACAAATATTGGTAAATTCCAGTGGGCATCTAGGTCACAGTTCTAGAGTTTTCCTACTTGAGTATGACCACTTTCATCAAGATACTTTTTAGTAAACTTCAATACATCAGTTGTACAATCAAAAGGAGTCTTGTGAAGTAGTAAACCAAAAGATACAGGGTCCAGTAAGTACATAAGCTGAAGATTGCAAAAATGAACAAGTTATGTCCATGATTTGATATAAAACATGGTAAAAGTGTACTTTCATATTTTTCATGACCATGCTCACATCAATGCACTCAGCCAACACATAAAAGTTGCATGTATATGCACGTTAAATTTAACTGGAAAATTCATATACCTGATATGCAGCAAATGGGTCTCCAAATATATTGAACTCGGCATACGGATTGCTGTAATATGCAGTATACAAGTTGCCACGATCCCCACACTCTTCTGGTGTGCAGGTGGTGCTAGCATTCTTGGGGCAGCACCCTGTAGGGTTCTTTGACCTCACACCACCTCCCATGACATAAATTTCCTCTACATTTCTCTTCAAATGTGGATTTGTCATGAGGAAAATTGCAAAATTTGTATGTGCTCCAATTAAAAATATAGTAGTACAGCCAGCAGAAATTGTATCAATCATCACTTTCTGAGCTGTGGATTCCTGAAGAGGAGAATACTTCCTAGGTCCCTGTATTCAGTGCATGACAAGGAAATGATTCTTTATCAAAACATTAAGAAAACAGAACATGTGATAAATAGTCATTTCTTAAGCAAATATAGCAAAAAGACACAAGACAATGACGCCGCATGGAGGATTCACCAATATACTTGAAATTTCTACAGAATGTTCCAAAAAAATTGGAATGTTCCAAAAAAATTGGAAGTTTCCATCAAGTCATCAAAGTTGGAAGAAGAAGGAAAAAGGATATAGAGTGTTGTATATTGTCTCCACTTAAATTGGTTGCATGTTAATTGAATTGGTCTAGGGTTACATGCATATGAACACATAAAGGAAGGGCAGGCCAGAGCTGTTAGACCCTAATGCCACTAGGAAAGAACCCTAGAAGGGGGTGAATAGGATATATGCTAATCTAATCCGATTTAATGCCAATAAAACTAATTAACAAATATCCTAACAAATTAGATATGCAACAAGATATATATGCAAGGATATGCAAACTAAGGGCACATAAACATGAGCAATGACAATATAGAATGAATGAACAATGAGCACAAATAAATACACAAATGCAAACTCAAACACAAGAAAATGATCACAGAGTTCAGTCCTTCTGACCTACGTCTCCGCTCCCCACTCTCGGGAAAAATCCACTACACAATGGGTTTTTAACATTCACCCAAAACGTTTACAACGACACAAGTTCGGTTTTCTAGCTCACCGAAAATTCTCACAATCCACACTCTTGCAATCATACTCTACACCCTCTAAGTGTTGGTCTCTAGCCCGTGTCTCCCTCAAGTGCTTGGATTTACAACCTCTCCCTAAGCTTTACTACAGACGCCACTCCTCTTGGGATGATCCTGTCTCTCACCACACACTCCTCTCGATGTATAAGTGTATTACAAAGTGTATCTCATAATTAGGCTCAATACAACAAATGTTTGTTCTCTACTATGGATGAGAACACAATGAAAGCTCACTCTCTAAGTCACAAACCCACAACCCAAAATTATACTATGTATGCAAATACAATAAGCTCAATGGTTGTGTGTGTAAACAAAGAGTAAAACAAATCTAAACTCAATATAAAATCTAACTTAACAAAATGATAAACAAACAAATATGTAAAAGTAAAGCTAGATAGAGTTTAGAAACACGTCTCTAAAGATGACAAGAGAGAGAGAGAGACGAGATGAAGGCTCAAACACTAATGATGATCTCCTCAAGCTCTTGTGAAAATTTCTTCACAAACAAACTTGTAAAATGCTTAAAAGCTTCTTAAACAAACTTAAAATAAAACTTAAACCATTGTTAAAACTTGTTTAAAAACTTTCTTGGTTATCCAAAATAGTTATAACAATGAGGTATATATAGGGTGGAAGAAACCAGCCTAAGAAAACCCCAAAAACCCATAAAAATCATTAAAAGACACAAAATATGGAAATAGTCGTTACTGTGCAACGGTCAGATTTATAAGTCGACTTGACACAAGTCAACTCGTATAAAGTATAAGTCGACTTAAGAGACGAAAACAACAACTGGGAAACAAGACATAAGTCGACTTATAAAAGACTATAAGTCGACTTTCCATAAGTCGACTTGCCATGACTGATAAGTCAACTTGGCAGAGGAAATTTTGATCATTCCAGAAGAGAACATAAGTCAACTTGCTAGGTGTAATAAGTCGACTCAAAAACATGCACATGCACTGTTCATGTTGAAAATCTAATTTTTAAAGTGCCTTTAAAAATAACAAATAAATTCTAAACATTGTAAAACTTTGGAGAATATTTGTAAACATGATAATAAATATGTTACAAAAAGTATTTTTGAAATTACACTTCCCAAAAGTAAAATATCATCATTTTGCAAATATGTCCAAAAATATGAAAACTAAACATACATGTTTTTGACATATTGATTTAAACAAACTTTTAAAACTTTATAAAATAATTTTATAGACTTAATAAAAGATGTATATAATGATTGTTAAGTCCAAAAACCAATAACTCAGTATTCTATCAAAATTACTCAAAATTAAGAATTGTGTGTATGTGTGATATTAAGCTCAAAGTATTAACACACAAGTATAAACACCTAAGCTATTTACCCAAGCAACTTGATCTTCAATGAGCTCTTCTTGGTAAACTTACGGATGAAGCTTGAACTTGGATATTGACTTGAATTGCATTGCTTCATACCAATATTCCGCCAATCTCCATTGGATATGATCGCTATGATCCAATTCCATCCAACCTCCAACTCATTGTTTATCTAGAATAAATAAAAAAACACAAACACTTGACAAACAATATTAGTCATAAATTATTTGTTAAAACATCATCAAAATAAAAAGGCCAACAAGAGCTACACCCGAAGCCTCTTAACCTCTTAAGATAAAAACTTTCCGTCATAAGCTAAAGAAGAAAAAAGAGAATACTCATGGGAGAAAATTCATATATTACAAAAGATGCTAAAGAACATACCAAGATTCCACTAGTGTGTGATTGCATCAGGGGCTGTTTGGTTCACCAAAATTTATGGACTCGGGGTGGAAAAGTGAGAAAGGGAACAAAAGTCGCACCTTGTTGCATAATAGGATTTCTAATATGTTGTTTGTTCAAAAAATAATAATGTAAGAAATGGTTTCTACCAAATGCAAAAAAGTACCCCAATTCTAAGATTTGCCAAATCCTCTATTTTGGAGAGGATTTGGGGTGAAAAGTTGACAACACTCTACCACGTTACTACCCATCACCAATATACTTGAAATTTCTATAGAATGTTCCAAAAAAATTAGAAGTTTCCATCAAATCATCAAAGTTGGAAAAAGGAAAAATGATATAGAGTGTTGTATATTGTCTCCACTGCACTTAAATTGGCTGCATGTTAATTGAATTGGTCAGGGGTTACATGTATATGAACACGTAAAGGAAGGGCAGGACAGAGCTACACCTGAATCCTCTTAAGATAAAAATTTCCGTCATAAGATAATGAAGGAAAAAGAGAATGCTGATGGGAGAAAATGCATATATTGCAAAAGATGCTAAAGAACATACCAAGATTCCACTAGTATGTAATTGCATAAGGATTGTTTGGTTCACCAAAATTTATGGACTCGAGATGGAAAAGTGAGAAAGGGAGCAAAAAGTGCACCTTATTGCATAATAGGATTTCTAATATATTGTTTGTTCAAAAAAAAATTTGTAAGAAATGGTTTCTCCAAAATGCAAAAAAGTACCTCAATTCTAAGATTTGTCAAATCCTCTATTTTGGAGAGGAATTGGGATGAAAAGCTGACAACACTCTACCACGTTACTACCCATCCAAAGATTAAGTAAGGTTACCCCTTCTTAATAGTAGCAATCTTGGCATTATGCGGGTGGTAAGCTCACCGAAGGTAATCATAAACAAGTTTTCTCTTTTATTGCATTTTATTATTTTTGAACCAAACAAGAGATTACATATCTTAAGATTTGCTTTCCTATTATCCTATTGAACCGAACACAAAATTAGTAATTTCAAGATATGCATGAATAGCAATGAATTTCATTTCTTGAGAGGGATTCATTTCCTATATTTTAGGAAATGTACCAAACAGCCCCTAAACATAATTTAACTAAATATTCCTCCATGTATATACACAATGATTAGTAACTCAAGGTTATGTATGTCACTCTAGCGTACTATTTAAAGGTCAAATAAATAATACAAAACTTTTATATTAGATGAAATTATGCACCTGTGGAAGAACACTCCTGCGTAAGCCATAGTTTGTGTCAACATCTAATCGTCCTCCAGTCCCTATGGGAACAGCTTGTCTGTAGCGACAATCACCGGCAGTTGACATGCCCTGAATACATTAGAATACAGAAATATGGAGAAGCATGCAAACTTAAATTTTATTATAGAAAGAAATCATATGCAACATTGTCCGAATATAATAGATATTTATGGGAATAATTTGTGCAAGTACAAATAAGCAGAAAGGGTTTTACTCCAAACTAGTAGCAGGATTGTAAGTTTAAAACTGAGACTAGGCAAAAATCTAGGTCAAACAACCTAATATTATTAGTAGAGGAGGATGGTAAAGAAGATAAGTTTCTTTTACCTGGTCAATTAAAGGAAATAATTTTTGCAAGTACAAATTAGCAAAAAGGGTTTTACTCCAAACTAGTAGCAGGATTGTAAGTTTAAAACTGAGACTAGGCAAGAATCTATGTCAAACAGCCTAATATTATGAGTTAGTAGAGGAGGATGGTAAAGAAGATAAGTTTCCTTTTACCTGGTGAATTAAAGGGAGATATCCACCAATATTTGGGTGTATGGTACCATCTGGTAATATTCCACCCTCACCTCCTACCCCCACTGGAATATCATCACGATCCATCATGTATAGCATATCATACACATGGTTCACAGCATGTCCTGCATCGGCCCATGTATTTGCATTTAGAGTAACCGCCTGTTAAAATCACATGTCATGTTATGTCATAAAAAATTGATAACAGGAAGAACTGCATCCATGTCACAATCTAGAAGTAGAATTACATTTAATTAAAATGTAAAATTTATTTTATAAAAAAACCTTTTGTAAATTGGCTTTGCTAAGGAAACCTAGCCAGATGCAGTCAGAGACAAGAAAATATCATAAACAATAAACAAATTTAAGGATCTACTATATGAAAACCAACACACAGTTAACAGGTGCACAAAATACTGTAGTAGCATGTCTAATTGAAAGTAATCAAGCAATAAACATGCTTGATGCAAACAATTGAATACCATGTGGAAAACCAAAGATTGAGAGACAGAAACATAACAGTTCTATGCTAGACAAAAAACATTATTGGCAAACTAAGTCGTTTGGAAGATTCTGTTGCTCATGATAACAGTGAAAATTATCTTGATGCAGCAATAAGATGTGACTCATTGTGAGAGTACGTATACATCTATAGGAAAAATGGGTATGAGGTGCTAGCTCATTTTGCCAAGTAAACTACCAAGAGATAGATAACTGATGAGGTCACAGCTCATATCCAATATTTTCATATATATACATCCAGTCTCGCACACACACATATAGGGGATACAAGGTGCCTGATATCTCATTTAGAAAAATGAGTTGTCACGAGATAGGAGGGGTTTTCACCTGCGCTAATATGACTTGCAGGATGGACCTCATCACTTGTCGATCTCCTAGCAGCTCATCTGATAAGACGAACTATCATCTCACCCCTTGCATGTGTGTGGCGTGCGCGTGCATATAGGAATTACCACAATAATCTATCAAGAAATTAAGATTGTGAGGTCCACTTGCTTCGATCTGACTATCAGTGTGGGAATCAACATTAAACTATCTCTTGATAGTTCATTTATCAAAATGAGGCGTCACCTCGTGAGTGTGTGTCTTGTGGGGGAGGTGGGCTCACGACTAAACAATCTCTTGATAAGTCATTTAGCAAAATGAGGTGTGTGTGTGTGTAAGTGTGCAAGTGCGCGCGCATATGCAGTGAGTGCAGGCGAGTGCGAACGTGAGGTCAAGGTGCATGTGTGAGTGAGGCGTGTGTTGTGAGTGCGCGTTCTTGTGTTGTCTGTATGGGTGGGTGGGTGTATCCACACATGCATATGTGTGTAGGTGCGTGCATGGATGTGTGGCGTGAGTGCACAAGCGTGGGTGTGGGTGCACATGCACGGGCACGTGCATGTAAGTTGCCTGTCTGTCTGTATGCTTGAGTGTCTGCGTTCATGTTCCATTTCCTAAATCTATTGATGCAGGACGATCATGGACCCTTAATCTGATACGATTGGGATTTATCAGGATCTAAGCGTTTTTGATGGATCTGGTTTTATTCTATATAATATTCTTTTAGTTAAGGTTTTTTTAGAATTTGATTTTGAGATCTCTTTCTAGCTTAGTTAGGATTTTATTTGATTGCATCTTCTAGTTTTGCTAGCTTTTGATTTAATTAGAATTTTGATTTGCTTCCTTAACTACTTAGATGCTTTCTCTTTCTATAAATAAGAGATGGAATCAGAAATAGACCTTAATTAACTAATTATGAGTTTGAGAAATCTCTCTAAGCATGTCACTTCCATGTTTGACATGTGAAGTGTCATGGGTGTGAAACCCTAGGTGTGAAGCCTATCCTTCAGGTGTGAAGCCTTTTACCAGAACCTCTTTAGAAATCCCTACACCCTCTCCTCCACAAAACCAATTCCTCCAAACCAATTTGACTGCCTCCCATCCAGGGAAAAAAAGCCAAAAAACTTCATGTAGAGTTGTTCGCTGATGAGTAGTAATACAAAATACTGCTCGTGGGTGAACAGTAATCCAAGTTACTCTTCATGGGTGAACAGTAATCCAAGTTACTCTTCATGGGTGAATAATAACTGCCGAGATGTTTATGCGCCCCCATCCTCAATTTCCCATGCTGCCAATCACACTGCATCAAGATGTCAAACAGATTGGAATTGTTATCAGTCCTCATGTTCGAGACTCATCAAAGCCCTCTGTCCATAGCCCATCATCTAGTTTCTTGTATCTTAACTCCATCATGGCATTGCACTAGAGAACACACCCAAAATGTTTTCATCTAGTTGTTATATTCACCATCTATTTTTATGTAGCCAGGAGATATTTATTAAGACCAGAGAACAAGAACAAGTAAGCATTTATTCCAAATCTATGGGATCAACTACACAAAACCCTTTTCTCCGGTTCAGCTCTGAGGGATACTGGACATGGGGAAAAAAATATTTGAATAGCTGATTACTGTAACCTTTCCTGTGCTGTTGAGGCTTCAGACATCCATCAGTTAATTGGTTGGCCTAATATAACCAGAGTTAACAATTACAAGGAGAATACAATATTCTCAGGTTGTGTTGTACTGATGAATGCTTTGAGAAAATCATTGAACAGTAGAGAGCCAAAGAAATACAAAGAAAAAATATACTATAAACTTCTTGCTACTATACAGTTAAATTTAAATTGCAACCAAAGAACCTTTTTCATGAAAAAAATAAGTAAAACATACCTACCAGGCTATCACACAGAGAAGATAGTTACATTATCTTTAAAATGTTGCAATTTTGTACAAGAAATATTAACCTTTGACATGGAGCTACATGTTATGGCCCAAAGCTAATATTAACTGGGGAAAGCAAATGGATATTGAATATGCTCAAACAAGACTATTGCTCAGGGAAGCACAGAAACCTTAAATGAGTTACTTATGTTCTTTTAGGCTTCTCATAAGAAACAAACGTAAGATTTTTCTAATTTTTCCTCCCTATGAAATTAGTAGCCAGTATAAGTTAACGGAATTTAAAAAGTAAAAACCATAATTGATTACATCATTATAGCCAAAGTTCCAACAAAAATTAAACATAACCACAATCATTCAGGATCAAGAAAACAATGAGAACAACCTAGCTATTTTATCAACCACAACCATGTACAAATTAAAAGCAATCAATAGCTAACCTTAAGGTCAAACTCTGATCTGTTCTGCTTCAACAGGTAGAGAATAGCAGGCAAATCGTCACTACCGACATCTGTATCCAAAAGAATCCTTCTGGGTTTTGCGTCCACCACACAGCATTCGATTAACCCAATAAATCCCACCACACCAGAAATCAAACAGAGAATTCTCCCAGCCATTTTTATCCCCTCCCTGCGAAAACCATTTGCAGAAGTTACTATTACCACTAGCATCCAATGAAGCCAAAATCATCACAAAAGAGTAGAAGAACTCAGACAATAATACTTTGAGAAGATATTTGACAGAGGCTTTTAATAGATTAACCAGCAATTAATTGAAACCATGTTAAATTGGAGCTCCTCCAATCCCTTCCGAATGTATGGGTTGTAGAAATTTGTTCAAGTTTATGATACAGCCCATGTCTAAGAGATATGAAAGAGAAAGAACAAAGGAAAGACGAAAGGTAAAGTATGATAAAGATTAGTGAAGATGATGACTATTAGATATTATTGATATTGTTGAGATATTGTGAGATGTGATTAGATATAATTTATCTCACATCTATTTTGTAATAATCTCTTATCTCTATTTAAGAGAGATTAGGATTAGATGAATAATTATCTTTTGCCTTCACTATTTTTCTAAAGTGACATTAATAAAGAATCATGAATTGTTTTTCACATTTGAATTATCAAAGTAAATCAATATCCAAGGCGGTTACAAGGGCTAAATTGAATGATGCTAACTGAATTGCCATAGTTTTTTGGATCTATAAGATGGATTGTATCATGTGCACCATGTGATACATATGAACATTAAATATCAGGGTAATGATTATGGAATGTTTTTCTTAGAAGGAGAGCAATTCATAACAATGTTTTAAAATGCTTAGGCACCTGCCTAGACCTAAGCAGTACCTAGCACACCCATCTAGGTCTTGAAAGCCTAGGGGAATGGGCTGCTTACGTGGACTGCACGACTTTAGGTCTTGGTCGTGATTTCCTCCACTACTGCCTCCACGTCCTATAACCTCCTCCACCTCCTCTGAACTTCAGCAAAAGCTCCTCCACCACCACTTAAAGTCTTAAACGCGCGCGCACGTGCACAAAACAGTTTCCATTTTATTGTTTAGAAATCATGAGCATTTGACAAGAGGATAATGTTTCAGACAACTAGAGCATTATTCTAGCTGACAAGGACCAGTTCAAGTTATAGGGTGCATTCGTTGTCTTCACTTGGAAGTTTAGTAGCAATTGTAGGCATGTGCCATTATCAATAAAACTAAGGTGATTTGTGAAGGGTGGGGGGGATGAAAAAAATAAAAAAAAAATTGACTAGTCTTCTCCCCTTTATGTCCTATTTATATTTTGGACGAATTTTCAATACCAACCTATTCCCACATTTAATCCCCAAAAAAGACCTGTTTTGAACTTATTTTCAAAAACCGACCTGGTTTTAACTCCAGGACTGAAACCAGGTCGGTTTTTGAAAAAAAAATTCCAAAAACTTCACGGGAGTTCAACTCCCGTGAAGTTTCGGAGTTTCGGAAGCTTTTTCACAAAAACCGACCTAGTTTTAGTGCCAAGGCTGAAACCTTGGCGCTGAAACCTTGGCGCTGAAACCAGATCGTTTTTTGCAAATAAGTTCAAAACGGGTCGTTTTTTGGGATTAAATGTTCAAATAGGGTGGTTTTGAAAATTTGTCCATTTATAGTAGAGAAATGCACGCATGACATGTTATAACTCGACACGTAGGTACACTGCATCTAAATTTATTTGCAGCTACCCATAAGACATGAGATAGTCTTGTATTAGGGTTTAGTTCTTTTTGTTCCACTTTGAGGATCTGCATAAGATTTCAAATTCTAGCAGATACAATACTGGGTACAGTATATACAAAATTGACGGGGACAATTCAAAAAATTGGGTTATTGATCGAGAATAAGGGGAATAAAACGGAAATAGAAAGAAAAATGTCGAAGCAGAAAGGTACCTAATTCCTTTGGTTCGTCTCCAGCTTTCTGCCCCTTCACCAGTTGCTGGTCTCAAAGTAAGGCTTGGTCAACCACGTTTTCGAGGGAAAATGTAATATAACCCCCTCTGTTGCTGCTATTATTCGATCGGCCCTCTTTCCTAGGAGAGGGCCAACTGCCAAAAAGAGCGGTATCTCAAATAGGCAAAGGGCCAACCGCAAAAAGGTGCGACATTTCTCCCTTAAATTACAACAATTTCATATTAGTCCCTCAAACCTTGGAAATTGCATGCTAGTCTCTTAAAATCTTCAATAACTGCATATTACTCACTCAGAGCTTGGAAATTGCATACTTGTGCCTCAAATCCTATAGGGTCTTGCAGAGTGGTCCTTCAAGTTAAATCAAATTAGATTTGAGGGGAATATTACGTCGAATTTAATGGTTGGAGATAGAATGACAATTTTATCCCTCTACAATGTAATTCTAGCTTAAAATAAATCTAAACTCACTTGAGTTCTTCTTCTCTAATGGTTAGCAAAAAATCCTAACCCAAACTTGAGCTTCAAAGTTTGAAACATCAGAGCAAGAGGTAGTTTGATGATTACAAATTTTGGATTAAGAGTTAATCCAACAATGATTAATTTTTTAATTGAAATCCTAAACAAGGGACCATTTTGTGAGACCATATAGGATTTAAGGGACTAATATGCCATTTCCAATATTTAAGAGATTAATGCGCAATTATTGAAGATTTAAGAGACTAATATGTAACTATTGAAGATTAAGGGGCTAATATCTGGAGACTGGAAAACCCATAGGTAAAATCTAGAAAGGCTTAACTGCACTTAAGCACCCTATAGTATCTCCTACTTTGCACTTATAAATTCTTATTTGTTTTTGGTAGCACATACATATGCTAAAGTTTTTAAAACTCGCATTTATATACTATATATATGAAAAAGAAGAGAAAACAAGTTCTTTTGATTTTGCATTACGAGTCACATTTGTCAGAAAATAAGTTCCGGTAAGTTTATATTTTATTTAAGAAATAGAGAAAACAATGTAGAAGTAATACTTTTTCTATCATCTTTTAGTTCTCGAAGAAATCGAAGAGCTAAATACAAACCAAACTACTGATACGCACTGGTCTGCCTAAACGCGGAAATACTACACAAAAAAGTGGTTTTTCAAAGCTCGGCCCCAATTTAATCTTGGGCTAATCGTTGGGCTTAAAAAGAAAGTTGTCTTCTTCCCTGATTTGGTTGGCATAGTAGGTAACAACTCAGATGTTTCTGCTGCTCGAGTTATTACTCATACCAAAATCTCTTCAAATTCATTAGTCCAACAATCACTTGTTTTCTATTCTATGTTCCCCTTCTTCTTTGGGAATTTGGTGACGTAGAATTTAAAATAGTTTTTTTAACCTATTAAAATTTCTTTAAAATTTTTGTTCTCCGCTTATTTTTTTATTGTATTTTCACTCATTGATTCATATAATCTGCCATAAAGGAAAAAACATCTGTTGACCAAAATAGCATTTGATCAAAATGGGCTGAATCCGTGATGACAGCCAATCTCTCTCCCTCCCTATTCCCGTTTTTTCCCTTATAGCCCACTGTCCCTCTTTACCACGTGCATGTCACGTGCAAAAGTTATAGTATCAAGAGAACACAGAGAGGAGGAGAAAAAGAGACCGTTGGTTCGCGGGCCACCACTTCTTTTCCCACCACGAGGCCAGGGTCAATCCCAGTTATAACTTTTTTTTATATAGAATCCATCAAAATAAAATAAAGTTTTTTAGCTATTAGAGCCAAAAAGAAATGGACATAAAAAAGGCATTAAATAGAATCCTGCTACCAAGTAAGCAAGACGACAAGAGTTTCTGACAAATCCCGTTCCATCGAACCGAACTCACGG